CTTTTGTTTCTTAGTTGAGGTTTCTTACTTAGTAGGTTTGTTTATACTATGCTTGATATTGGTAACAATACTTATCTTTTTATAAACGTACCTACCACATATTTTTAATTTGATTTTTTTTGTTAAATTTTGGGTTTTGATTTGATTGATTTGACAATGACAACTATGTATTACTTTTTTTAGCCTTTTATAGACAAAAGACACATGAATCATACAGCCAGCGTCGATCTTATACTTTGCTTTAATCGATTTTCTCTTGGTAAACATTCTCCTGTAATATTTTGTGTGACATCTACTTAGGAACTTTATTATTAGACAAGATTATTTTTGCCACTTTAGGTATTTTAGATCATAAGTTTGCATATAAAATTTATTTAATATTAAGTTTACTCTGTAAACAGTGAACTGATGGGTTGATGATGTTTATGTTTAGTAATTGTTAGTTAATAGTTATAGTTTACATAACTTACTTTTTTATTATTTTTTATATATTTATTTAATTTATTTATTATTTTAGTATATATATGTAATATATCTGATGTTGAGTCGTTTAGCTCTGCAAATGATTCTTCTACTTTGTCATTTCGCTCTTTTAATGATTCTCTCAACGATAGCGTGCTTAATTTACACGAACTACTCAAAGGAGTTTTTACGTCTTTTAACAACTCTGTGAACATATGTCATATTAACGCTCAAAGTATCCCGAGCCACTATTCCGAACTTGAAGCTTCATTTTTCCCCGAGTATATTCATGCTATATTAGTGTCGGAAAGTTGGCTGAAACCTTCTTTACCGTCAACTTTATATCCCTTACCCGGCTTTGTACTTGTTAGGAATGATCGTGTTGGTAAAGGTGGAGGTGGTGTAGCAATCTACCTACACGCATCAATTCCTTATAAAATTGTCTTAGCATCTCCCTCCTGCTATTCCGCTTCTTCTGAGTTTTTATTTGTGGAACTCGATGTCAAGGGCATCAGGATACTTCTAGGGGTAGTGTATTGCCCCCCATCTACCGACTACTTCGCCACTTTAGATATGGCTCTTGTTGATATTTGTTCTGAGTACACTCACTGTATAATCATGGGTGATTTCAATACTGATCTGTTGAAAAACTGCCCTCGTTCCAAAAGGTTTCTTTCAATTATTGAGTCGGTTAATCTTTCTATTCTCCCTTTAAAGGCTACTCATCATAATATTGGAACCGATGACTCATTGATTGATCTAATCCTTGCTGCTGCTCCTGAACATGTGATGATGCATGGACAGTTACCCGCTTTGGGTTTCTCACGCCACGACTTAATTTATGAATCGTATAAGCTTAAACCTCCTAAATATTCCCCTACTGTAATGCATCTTCGCAGTTTTTCTAAAATAGACTTTGATAAGCTTAGGAATGACGCTCTTAATCTCGATCTAGCCTCTTTAATAGCAGCATCTACTGTTGACGATAAAGTCACTATCCTTAACCACAATATTCTTAGCCTTTATGATGCTCATGCTCCTGTTCACAAGGTTAGGTTGAAGCGTCCCCCTGTTCCTTGGATGACAGAGGGCGTAAGGATGGCAATGGCTAGATGAAATCGTGCTTTTCTTCGTTTCAAGAGAGATCGAACTGAAGAAAATTGGATATCTTTTAAAGTAGCCAGGAATAGGTGTAATCATATGGTACGTGCAGCTAAACGCCGATATTTCCATAACTGTATTAATAATTCTTCTCCAGTTTTAGTGTGGAAATTCCTAAAATCTTTCGGGCTTTGTAGACCAGCTACATTGGATTGTGATCCTTCTCTGTCACTTGATGAAATCAACCAACATTTCGCTTCTGTACAAGCACTGGACCCTATAATTCGTTCCCAAAGTATGGCTTCCATTGCTTCTATGCAAATTCCTAACATTCCTACTTAAATTTTTTTTTTAATTTTTCTCCTGTTTCTTAGGATGATGTCAAAAAGTCGATTTTAGCAATCCAGTCTAAGGCCGTGGGTTACGACGAGATTAGTAGACATATGGTAGTATTTATACTAGAGCACCTTCTCCCGGCAAATGCCCATATAATCAATTTTTCCCTTGGTTCAGGTCAGTATCCTAATCTTTGGAAGAGGGCTTTTGTAAAGCCTCTCCCAAAAGTTCCTACTCCCATTCTTCCCAATCATTTTCGTCCAATATCCATTCTACCCTTTCTTTCCAAAATTTTAGAATCCTGTGTTTACAAGCAAATTTCTACTTTTGTTTCGAAACATAACCTACTGAGTATATATCAGTCTGGGTTTCGTCCTGGTCATAGTACCACTACTGCATTAATTAATGTTATTGATAATATTAAACAAGGCATGGAAGAAAAAAAAATAACAGTACTGGTACTAGTTGATTGCTCAAATGCTTTCAACACAGTTGATCATGAAATCCTTCTTTCCATACTGTCTCATCTGAATTTTGGCCCTACTGAATTGGATTGGTTTACATCTTGTCTTCGCGGTCGACAGCAGTCAGTCAGTGTGGGGCAACTGTCCTCAGCGTGGGCTAACGTGGATGCTGGTGTGCCGCAAGGCGGTATTCTTTCTCCTATAATATTTTCAATTTTTATAAACTTTATTACATCCATCATCGACTGCTCCTACCATTTGTATGCCGATGACCTTCAGCTTTATGTGCAAACCGAGATTGGGGATATCCATAATGGGATCAAAAACCTTAACGGCAACTTAGCAGCTATCAAGGATTGGTCTACTCGTTATGGAGTTTTGGTCAATCCTTTGAAATGCCAAGCTGTACTGGTGGGTAGCTCAAGGATGCTGGCTAAGATTAATCTGACAGACTTACCTCCTATTTACTATGATAATACTACAATTCCAATCAGTAATTCTATTAGAAATCTTGGCCTTCACATCGACATCACGCTGAATTGGAAAAGTCACTGCCACATTATGCTCTCTGTATCGTTTAAAACATTTTCTTCCCACAAAATCTAAGATCATGCTTGTCCATTTACTTATATTACCCATAGTTGATTATGCAGATGTGTGTTACCCAGACCTGTCCCAAGATCTTCTGAACAAGCTGGAACGCTTCCTCAATAACTGTATAAGATTTATCTATGGGCTTCGTAAGTATGATCATATTTCGCAATACAGATCTTAGCTAAATTGGCTTACAATCCGGCAGAGGCGCAACTCCGGAATATTACTTGTACTTTTTTCCATATTAAATGATCCATATTCGCCGTCTTATCTTAAGAGTAAATTTTATTATCTTTCCTAATCTCATGATAGGGTCCTACGCTCTTCTTCTAACAATAAAATCTGTACTCCAGTTCACTTCACCGAGTTCTATGGTAACTCCTTCACAGTTCAGGCTACACGCCTTTGGAACTCCTTGGCCGATGACATCAGAAAAGCTCCCAATAAGTACGCTTTTAAAAAGTTGGTCCGTGATCATTTATTAAAGACGGCGCATTCTACATGACTCATCTATTTAATATGTATTGCCAAACAGACGTATATATTCATATTAATTTGTATATACTAATTATGTATGTATTTAAATATGTTTATTTGTATGTATATCCATTTATTTATATATTTGTATATATGTAAGGATAGATCATATATGTATAGTTTATTTATTAGTAGTTTGTATATATTATGTAGTTAATTATCATTTGTATTGTGTTCTCTTATTCTATATTGCCACACCTACATCAAATTCTCACCACTCCATGGGTTGACTGGTAGAGAATGCCTCAAGGCATTAAGTCCGCCCTTTGTATTCTTTTGTTTAAAAGGATGCAATAAAGAATAAAATAAATAAATAAATTACTTAAAAGTCAATCTGAAAACTGCCCAGAAGTAAATATTTCACAAAGTTAAGATGTTATCACTTGATTATTAACAAAAAATCTATCGCTATGTACGTAAAACTTTTGGAACGTGTTTGCCTGCACCACGGCCATTGACTAAGTGGTACAGTATCATCAATGGCCGACCAGGGTTTACTCAAGGAGCGCTGACAGCATTAAAATTGAGAGTGGAGAGTAACCCTGATTAATTTTTTTATTGTACCTTGGTCATGTATGAAATGAAAATTAAGCAGTTGATGAAATGCTAGCAGCCAAAGACATTATGGCTATGTCGACTACGGGTTTGATATTTTATCTGATAATTTCGATGAAGCTACTAAAACACTAATGCGTCGTCTTTTAATTGCTCGCTATAAACACTACGTAGAAAGTACCCATAGCCAAATTTTTGATTAAATTTGAATTAAAATCTGAGTTTGATCAGACCATAATTATATCTACTAATAAAAAAAAATTATTACACTAAAAAACTCTTCACTGCTGGCCGTATGAGGAAGCTCAAAATCGCTCAGCGAGCTACGGAGACGGCTATGCTCGGAGTTTTCCACGTGAGAAACAGAGAAATAAGGATATTCACAGTAGAACCAGAGAGACCGACATCGGCTAACGGATTTGTAAGCTGAAGAGGCAATATGCCGGCCATATAGCTGGAAAAACCAACAACCGATGGCGAAGGAAGGTTCTCGAGTGGCAGCCCCGTGCCTGTAGATAGTGCGCGGCCCCTCACAGTAGTTGACAGCAGTTTTCAGCAGTAGGTATGTAAATGGCTGAATGACGTTGATGAGTGAATGGTAACGATGAGTGAATGGTAATGATGATGAATGATAATAATGATGAATAATAATGATGATGAATGGTAATGGTGATGAATGGTAATGGTGATAAATGGTGGTGATAATGAATGGTAATGATAATAAATGATGATGATAAACATGATGGTTATACCACCATTATTATAAGATTTTACAGTCTGTTCCTGTAGTCGCTTCTTTCGTGCCTTGATTGTCACAGCACGAAATGGGATGATGAACAATCTTGCATCATTACCACACGATTAACTTAATAGAACTATTATATTTCGAAACATAATGTTGTACAGTTTTTCGAATAAATGATGTATGATCGATAAATATTTTCTTTGTAGCGGTGGATCGATGCGCGTCTGCTTCGATGCCAGAAGCGCGCGAAGCGCTGATGAACGTCGCGGTGGACGCGCTGTCAGCGCACAGGTTGGCGCAGAACCTGCCGGCGGGAAACGTGAGCAGCGCGCTGTACGCGCCCGCCGCGCTGCGCCTGCTGCCGCTCTACCTGCTGGCCTTACTCAAGCGGGTGAGTGTACACTGTACGCACACAGGCTGGCGCAGAACCTGCCGGCGGGCAACGTGAGCAGCGCACTGTACGCGCCCGCCGCGCTGCGCCTGCTGCCGCTCTACCTGCTGGCCTTACTCAAGCGGGTGAGTGTACACTGTACGCACACAGGCTGGCGCAGAACCTGCCGGCGGGCAACGTGAGCAGCGCGCTGTACGCGCCCGCCGCGCTGCGCCTGCTGCCGCTCTACCTGCTGGCCTTACTCAAGCGGGTGAGTGTACACTGTACGCACACAGGCTGGCGCAGAACCTGCCGGGGCAACGTGAGCAGCGCACTGTACGCGCCCGCCGCGCTGCGCCTGCTGCCGCTCTACCTGCTGGCCTTACTCAAGCGGGTGAGTGTACACTGTACGCGCACAGGCTGGCGCAGAACCTGCCGGCGGGCAACGTGAGCAGCGCGCTGTACGCGCCCGCCGCGCTGCGCCTGCTGCCGCTCTACCTGCTGGCCTTACTCAAGCGGGTGAGTGTACACTGTACGCACACAGGCTGGCGCAGAACCTGCCGGCGGGCAACGTGAGCAGCGCGCTGTACGCGCCCGCCGCGCTGCGCCTGCTGCCGCTCTACCTGCTGGCCTTACTCAAGCGGGTGAGTGTACACTGTACGCGCACAGGCTGGCGCAGAACCTGCCGGCGGGCAACGTGAGCAGCGCGCTGTACGCGCCCGCCGCGCTGCGCCTGCTGCCGCTCTACCTGCTGGCCTTACTCAAGCGGGTGAGTGTACACTGTACGCACACAGGCTGGCGCAGAACCTGCCGGCGGGCAACGTGAGCAGCGCGCTGTACGCGCCCGCCGCGCTGCGCCTGCTGCCGCTCTACCTGCTGGCCTTACTCAAGCGGGTGAGTGTACACTGTACGCGCACAGGCTGGCGCAGAACCTGCCGGCGGGCAACGTGAGCAGCGCGCTGTACGCGCCCGCCGCGCTGCGCCTGCTGCCGCTCTACCTGCTGGCCTTACTCAAGCGGGTGAGTGTACACTGTACGCACACAGGCTGGCGCAGAACCTGCCGGCGGGCAACGTGAGCAGCGCGCTGTACGCGCCCGCCGCGCTGCGCCTGCTGCCGCTCTACCTGCTGGCCTTACTCAAGCGGGTGAGTGTACACTGTACGCGCACAGGCTGGCGCAGAACCTGCCGGCGGGCAACGTGAGCAGCGCGCTGTACGCGCCCGCCGCGCTGCGCCTGCTGCCGCTCTACCTGCTGGCCTTACTCAAGCGGGTGAGTGTACACTGTACGCGCACAGGCTGGCGCAGAACCTGCCGGCGGGCAACGTGAGCAGCGCGCTGTACGCGCCCGCCGCGCTGCGCCTGCTGCCGCTCTACCTGCTGGCCTTACTCAAGCGGGTGAGTGTACACTGTACGCACACAGGCTGGCGCAGAACCTGCCGGCGGGCAACGTGAGCAGCGCGCTGTACGCGCCCGCCGCGCTGCGCCTGCTGCCGCTCTACCTGCTGGCCTTACTCAAGCGGGTGAGTGTACACTGTACGCGCACAGGCTGGCGCAGTACCTGCCGGCGGGCAACGTGAGCAGCGCGCTGTACGCGCCCGCCGCGCTGCGCCTGCTGCCGCTCTACCTGCTGGCCTTACTCAAGCGGGTGAGTGTACACTGTACGCACACAGGCTGGCGCAGAACCTGCCGGCGGGCAACGTGAGCAGCGCGCTGTACGCGCCCGCCGCGCTGCGCCTGCTGCCGCTCTACCTGCTGGCCTTACTCAAGCGGGTGAGTGTACACTGTACGCACACAGGCTGGCGCAGAACCTGCCGGCGGGCAACGTGAGCAGCGCGCTGTACGCGCCCGCCGCGCTGCGCCTGCTGCCGCTCTACCTGCTGGCCTTACTCAAGCGGGTGAGTGTACACTGTACGCGCACAGGCTGGCGCAGAACCTGCCGGCGGGCAACGTGAGCAGCGCGCTGTACGCGCCCGCCGCGCTGCGCCTGCTGCCGCTCTACCTGCTGGCCTTACTCAAGCGGGTGAGTGTACACTGTACGCACACAGGCTGGCGCAGAACCTGCCGGCGGGCAACGTGAGCAGCGCGCTGTACGCGCCCGCCGCGCTGCGCCTGCTGCCGCTCTACCTGCTGGCCTTACTCAAGCGGGTGAGTGTACACTGTACGCGCACAGGCTGGCGCAGAACCTGCCGGCGGGCAACGTGAGCAGCGCGCTGTACGCGCCCGCCGCGCTGCGCCTGCTGCCGCTCTACCTGCTGGCCTTACTCAAGCGGGTGAGTGTACACTGTACGCACACAGGCTGGCGCAGAACCTGCCGGCGGGCAACGTGAGCAGCGCGCTGTACGCGCCCGCCGCGCTGCGCCTGCTGCCGCTCTACCTGCTGGCCTTACTCAAGCGGGTGAGTGTACACTGTACGCGCACAGGCTGGCGCAGAACCTGCCGGCGGGCAACGTGAGCAGCGCGCTGTACGCGCCCGCCGCGCTGCGCCTGCTGCCGCTCTACCTGCTGGCCTTACTCAAGCGGGTGAGTGTACACTGTACGCACACAGGCTGGCGCAGAACCTGCCGGCGGGCAACGTGAGCAGCGCGCTGTACGCGCCCGCCGCGCTGCGCCTGCTGCCGCTCTACCTGCTGGCCTTACTCAAGCGGGTGAGTGTACACTGTACGCGCACAGGCTGGCGCAGAACCTGCCGGCGGGCAACGTGAGCAGCGCGCTGTACGCGCCCGCCGCGCTGCGCCTGCTGCCGCTCTACCTGCTGGCCTTACTCAAGCGGGTGAGTGTACACTGTACGCGCACAGGCTAGCGCAGAACCTGCCGGCGGGCAACGTGAGCAGCGCGCTGTACGCGCCCGCCGCGCTGCGCCTGCTGCCGCTCTACCTGCTGGCCTTACTCAAGCGGGTGAGTGTACACTGTACGCGCACAGGCTGGCGCAGAACCTGCCGGCGGGCAACGTGAGCAGCGCGCTGTACGCGCCCGCCGCGCTGCGCCTGCTGCCGCTCTACCTGCTGGCCTTACTCAAGCGGGTGAGTGTACACTGTACGCGCACAGGCTAGCGCAGAACCTGCTGGCGGGCAACGTGAGCAGCGCGCTGTACGCGCCCGCCGCGCTGCGCCTGCTGCCGCTCTACCTGCTGGCCTTACTCAAGCGGGTGAGTGTACACTGTACGCGCACAGGTTGGCGCAGAACCTGCCGGCGGGCAACGTGAGCAGCGCGCTGTACGTGCGAAATCTTCAAATCAGTCCAATCTTTAAATCAGACATTCTTTTGTAATGTGTTAAAGTAATAAATTACATTAAAATTTATTTTGATGGGTAATAATTAAAAATAAACTACAGACTCATTGGCTACCACATGAGTAACTGAAATTGTTAGAGATCAGAAAACATTTCATTATTTAATATATTTCTCATGTATAAGAAGCTATGTTATAACGAGACGCTTTACTCGGATATTGTAATTTTTTCTTATTTTGAATTTCATTGACAACCAATAAAAATAACAGGCTATAAGACATTCTATCTTGATTGAATTTAGCTGTTATTGTCCATTGTTTCATGAATGCGTTTCGCAGGGATTAAAAACTAGCTCCTATATATATATATATATATATATATATATATATATATATATATATATATATATATATATCGTATAATATTAACATTTTGTTTACAGAAAGCATTCCGCACGGGCACGTCGACGCGTCTCGACGAGCGCGTGGCGGACATGTGCGCGCTGAAGTCGCTGCCGCTGCCGCAGCTGATGCGCCTGGTGTACCCCGAGCTGTACGCGCTGCACGACCTGGCCGAGCACGCGCCGCGCCTGGAGGACGAGGACGACGACCCCACGCCCGACCCGCCGCGCCTGCACCTCTCCGCCGAGCGGTGAGACTGCGCTACTTCGTAGTTATACGACAAGTACAATGACCCTATCTATCTCTGCCGGTCGGTGAGGCAGCGCAACTTCCTTAGTTATACGACAACGACGATGACCCTATGTCTGAATCTCTACGCGGAGCGGCGAGACTGCGCAACTTCTTTAGTTATACGACAAGGGTAATGACTGCCAGTAACTCTTTAGTTATATTAGTAGTATAGTTGTAGCACGAATGGGTCGGCTCGACGGAAGGACCACGCTCTCACAGAATACCAGCATAAAATAGTAGCTTAATGCTGCTGTATTTCGTATGGTGAGTGTAGAGAACCGGAAATCCTTTTTACTGGAAACGAGGCATTCCATTTTAGTCCTCAGGGGTGACAACGCATCTGCGTTTTGATTTGTAATCGAGGATAGATGTAGATGTCTATGAGCCGCAGCAACAACTTACCATCAGGTGGACTGTGTGCTAGTTTCTTACCCTGTCCTATAAAAAATTTGCTGTGGCAACATACTCTTACCACTATTTAGACGTCCAGAACAAGAAATTTATTAAAGATGAATTATAACTAAATTAAATCGTCCGTACGCCTTTGTAATCCAAAACGAACTGGCACGGGCCGTGTATAGAAAGCCTGTGTATAGAAACGAAATAAATCTTAAAATTCGGCTAATTGAATTGTAAATTAATTACGCTTATCACAATGTTAAAAGAAACACAGTAAAAAATATTTTTTAATATTTCTTTAAGCTTATTCTACGTCAAGCGTAAACAAACATATTACTATATTTTGAACGCATCTCAACCACCGTTTTTCTAGAACGTTCCATTTTACACACTGCTACTTCAGTTTTTCAACTCCGTTTCTGAGTTTTATAAATTATTTTATGTTTCATTTAATCACTTAGTAATTTTTATTAGTCGTTGTATAAGTAAGTTCGAGAACATTTATTTCTTTATTATCTATACCTATTATATATACCTATTTGATAACGGCAAATCCTAACCTAAAAAGTAACATTAATATTTTTTGGGCTTCGTAGCGTTTACATCGTAAAAATAACTGTATGACATTATTTTCTAAACTACCAACTACCTTATAGCTATACATAAACTTTCACTATCAGGTTTTTAAATGTATGGAAAGTGGGCATGCTTCTTTATAGTTGTGGGCATGGGCTGTGCACCCTGTGCCTGCAATTTTCCGCCACGCAGTGAAACTGCGCAACTTCTTATTTATTTATTTTTTTTCGGAACACCAACAGCTTTTATACATTTCACTTACTATAAAAATTTTAATCTACATAGCTATTAAAAGGTATTCGCAGCTTGGATTGAAAATTACAATTGCGTCGCAAAAATACGGTTTTAAGGCCTTACAGTTGTGAAACGCCTTTGATGTCCGGCGATGTCACCGCCCGCGTAGGTATTTTTACATGGCAGCGTTTAAGCTAGGGGTTGTCACGAAAATAGAATTAAAATGTTTTTGGACATTATAATACTCATTATCTTACTTATATATTATATATTTATTAACATTATGTACATACCTATAAGTTAAAAACGTTTATTCAACAAGATCATTTTTATTACTACAGGAAAACTAATTTACAAGCGTTGGACTGCCCATAATTATCATGACACTTACTTCTTATAGACGTTTTCAGTTTTCGGCAGTTAAATTTAATTATGTAGGTATTCGCATTAGTATAACAAAAAACGAGTAACTCGTGTAACTATAACAGTTATTCACCATTCTAGAAATTATATTTTTCTAAATAACAAGGACACAAGCAACGATAAAACTTAAAAAGTAGATGTCTAGGCAGAGTGAACTCGCACAGAAGCGTAGGAGTTTGTTACACCAAAGAAGTCACCTGACTCTACAGATGATAATCCTACAATACCTGTATTTGTGAGATATCTTAGAATCAATACCCCCTAATGCTGAATAGAAAGGTGCTGAAACAATCAACATTTTAGCTGAAGTGGGTGGAGGGAGGTATCAGTAGCTCAACTAAAGGCATAGAAGGAGTATACTTGAAGTGTGTATGTTATACATTCCTCAAGTTGTGTCAGATACTGATGATACTGTATGGATTGTGGACTCATTGCTCAGTCAACTTTCTGATGAAAATAATGACACTATTATCCCCTTGTGTGGCGACCGGCCAGATTCTGGCCGATGGTTAATTACGCGCGTCTGGCAAGCGACCAGATTCTGGCCGATCCGCGACTGCGTATTTGGCGGGTAAAATAACCAGCGACAATGATTTTTATCACACTTTTACTTATAGAAAATTATAAACCAAAGAAAGAGGATGCGATACAAAGCTACTAAAGTACTACAATGTGTAGAAATTTCGAATAAACAGCCTACGTAGCAGTCGCATGCGAACGTTACTTTCATGTGGTCATCCGTCCCGGTTTTTGTCCTTATTTTTATTCGTAAATCGAACAAATAGTGAAGTTAAGTGCTATTCAAACATAGAAGGGTTAATAACCAACAGTTTTTAATTCATAATTTAGGGATATGTATCCTTTTTATAAAAAAAATTCGAACATAAACGGTCGTTATACTTACTTACCTTACATTTATCTCTATTGTTGATTAAAAATACATTACATTCTTTTTAGAAATGAAACTTTGTCTAAATTAAGGACTTGAGCCATACTTAATGTTAAAATTATCGTACGCCACTTGACTTGCTCATTTCTCAAAATAAAACTAACAATATATGCTATTTTTTGTGCGACGCTTGAGTTGCCGTTCATGTGTTAAGATTGTAAAAAACTTTTGGGGTAAAAATATAAAGGGATGTGTGTTTTTTTTTTGCTTTTTTATTATAAATTAGTGTATATTGATGAAAATAAATTACATTTATTTTATAAAAGAATGATTTTTATGTTTAATTTTCACAAATTATGCACAAAATACTATTAAAAATTTGGTTTTCCAACTTTGAAATTGGCTTAATAAAATCTATTAAGTTGTATTCAACTAAGATATCTACAGAGTAATAGCAAATAATATAACAATTAATATGACATAAGTTTTATAAATAGCTTCCATACAATATTTTAGAGAAATTACTAATTTACTCGCCACGCGCCGATATCGCAAAATTACCTGCTAAGGCCCTAGCAGACGCGACATATTTGCAAAATGGCCGGCCGGCAGACGAGGGGTTAAAGAATATAAATTAAAGCATTGGAAAATATTTTAAAAAAAGATGCAGAGTACAACATATCTATACGAAGTTACATACTATAGAGACTTGAGTGCTGTAGAGTTCGTTTATATTTTTTACTTTCCGAGTCTTTAAACTGTGACAAAAATCGATTTCTTTATTTATGTTAGTTTAATTAAAGCGTATTATCACAAAAACGCTTATCACCCAACAGAATCAGTTCGAATGGCGCATACCTGTTGGATGACGGCGAGACGATGATCATATACGTGTGCTGCAACGTGAGCGTGGCATTCCTGTCGGAGACGTTCGGCGTGGCCGCGTTCAGCCAGCTGGCGGACGAGGCACGCTCCCTGCCGCGCCTGGACACCGCCGGCAGCCGCCTGCTGCACGCGCTGCTGGACCGCCTCAACGACGAGCGGCCCTACCCCGCCAGCCTGCTCGTGCTCAGGTTGGTAGCCCTGCCCGCCACCAAAATCACGAAAAATCGATTACTCCACCTCGGCTGCGGTTTTAAGAGATTGGGACACACGTCTCACCGCGGCCTACCAACGTACAATCGTAATCGGCTTGCCGAGCCCGCCTCGGGCAGGTCCTACACATCGGACCAGACAAATGAGCTCTTTGTTCACTGTGGGTGACCGAGCCACGGCTACTAAGAACCCGTTGCGGGGGGGGGGGGTGATTGACCTAGGTCTCATTCAAGGTAACACATATCTCACCTCATTCCTAAAGTGGTAGATCATTTCAGTCAGTTTATAATAAATATATTTGGTTTTGACTCTTCATCGTTAAGCAATTTATTTTAATTAATAATTAGAAATAATATTTATACCATTTAGGAAAATCTTGACTTCCCCGTAAAATGTTATCTCGAATTACATTTCACTGTTTAATCTAACTTAGAAATTATAAAAGTCTTTCGTCTACTTATGCTCACGTTGATTACGTTGATACGCTATGATTATGTTAATTTTCTTCCATATAATAATCCCACCTGCATTAGTTGCCTAATAACAAACGAGGCTTTTGGCATCCAAAAACACAAGTTCAAATTTAATTGACATATGATGGCCAGTAGCATTACCAATGCGAGTGCGCTTATAGAATAGGCAACTCTTCCAAGTAATGCATGCCAGCTGGCGTCATCTTCGGAAAATGTGGACATCGAAGAACCGTAAGTGAAGAAGATGATTATAATACAATGCTCATCTTTAGTCAAAAGCATATTGTTTATACTCACTTTAGTACCACGGGTACTTTATAATAGTATTTTTTAATCATGAAAAAATAATGGCCACCGCAGACCATGATCATTGACAACTTCAAACAGTAATCTAAAACAGCATTATTATGTGGACTTAACACATCATGTCATTATTTTAACATGTTTGGTTCGTTACGTGACTTAACTTTCGTTTTATTTCAGGGATAACTCACCAACACGGCAACAGTTCACCGAGCGCTTAGTGGACGACAGAGTTGAGTCCGCGTTCTCCTACTACGAGTTCTTACAACACGTGAAGAATCAAGTGAAATGAGTCGAGAGTGACTTGTGAGGGACTTCACATTTCCGCGCTATGGCTGGACACTTATACATGTGCTAGCACTAGCTAGGGTACGAACATTATAGTGATATTCGAGATTTTATCGCGACACTGCCCTTAATACATCTTTTTCAATTGTTTTAATATTCGAACGGTACCTTTGCGATAGACGAAGAACGGCTTTTTTGTAAATTGCTTGGAAATTTCATTAAATTGGAATTGTTCGATGTCAACAAACGTTGTTGGTGTTTTGCGGTCGTTTAAAGGTTTCCGATAGCCTCATGAACGATATGGAATAAAACATTACTTCATTATGGCTTTCAGTTTACGAGAAATGTTTATACTCCAGTAATTTTTTTTTAGATATGGTTAAAAATTTAAATTATTATACTTCTTAGGTTAAATTCTAAAGATTGAGGCTATCGAGATATTATGTATAGTATATTTACGATTGTTCAGATAGTATGAAATAGTATGAATAAAATTGTATTATAAAATCGATTATAATGAAATAAATATTAAAATTACCAAAAAATGATTGTAAATTTTTACCTTATTCAGTTGGCTGCTGGAAAAATGTTTTCCTTATAAATTCGGCAACTAGTTATACACACTCGACAGTTATGTCGCTTAAAAACATCGTGAAATGGAACAAATGGTATGGGTGTTTTTTTACTTCAAATTCCTTTTTTTTATTAGTCCTTATTTTAAAGTCATAGTAATATATATATTTATAGCCCGATTAAAAGTGTAAAATTTTCGCCATGTTTCGGATATTTACGAAACTAATTTCTTTTAGTGGTTAATGTTTTGTGTTTTTAACATTTAATTTCATTATGAACTCAAGTTTTATACGAAGAAATTAAAATGAATGAATATTTAAAAAAAAATCACTCAATAAATATTATAACTTTATTATACCTACATCACAAAAAATTAAAAAGGAACGCAACTACATAAGGAAATTTTATACACATTGTCGCCTATTTGGTATTGCGTATATCGCTCATCATATAGTTTTAAATAACATATTGTATGGTTATTGACATAACATAAATTTTAAACTATAGTGATCTTGATGAATATTGGCTGTTGTATGAAATAGTTTGTAATTTTAAGATTGTTTCGTTCTTTTGTTTAAGAATAAACTAATATTGACGAGAATTTTCTTCTACTGTTTTACAACAATAAATTTTAAGAAAAGAAACATCAATAGAGACGTAAACTATGTGAATTTTATTTTGTACCTTTGTAGAAGATTTGAACTTGAAACTGCAAAGGTCATTAGTTTTAATAGCGCCATGGTATCACAATTACTCAGAAAATTATTTGAAATATATGCAGAGGCTTATATAGACTAGCAGATTATCGATTAATTAAATCACATGGCTTCCATAGTGTAGGACTAAATTGTTAAAAATACTTGTTGGCGAAGTTTTATAAGATATCTAGGAAGCGGTCCCGTTTTAAGGTGTTATCTATTTTGGGATGAAGTTATGACTAAATGATTTAAATACCATGTAAGATAGTCTGCTAAAGATGAAGGCGAATTAGTCTTACTTTTATTAGGTACGGTGCACTGACGTAAGGAGGTTTATTTTTTTCCTTGTTAACAGTGTTGCCAGACGACCATGAGAAACTTCGAAATCCCCCCAAAAATTACCTTTTTGATAAAAATCCTACAAAACAGTTTTAATTCATTTTAAAGAAGAAATGCAAAAGCAAAAAGTTCATGATTTTTTTTAATGAATTGCGGGAAGACTTGCGAAGAGGAAATGTGAGAGAGGACCTATATTTGTGATCACCTTCATAGGTGCTTTGCAGTACCCATGGTCCCTCGCGACTATGGATGCTGGAAAGCACTCGAAACGTTGGCGATGCAAAATAATACAACTAAACGCGAAAAAATCTTTAAAAGTATCTTTTCGATATTTTATAGTAGATACTCTTTGCAATATCACATTATAATTTATTAATGATTATTAAAGTTGCGTTGTCGTCAACATTGATAATAGATACTCAATGAAGCTGTTATAATTATTAAACCTTTTTTCATAGAGTTTATTCTAGAAGGCCTCTTATCATTGTTATAACGAACAAATGAGAGATGTAAATATACCTATCTCCTGTATGGAGTGGTTTGTTTGATAATAGATTATTTATTCCTTGATAGGAGAACAATGTTTTCACTTAACAGGTCAATGAACTTCTCATGCTCCTAGGTTTTAATATCTTTGTTTATATATTGGTACTGGTTTCTTATTACGAAAGAGATAAATGTGTTTTAGAAAAAAATTGTATGATGTGTCGTGGTACAGCAAGATATCTTTTAGTTTTTGCCTGATCCTTGAATAGACTAGACCTCTAGATCACTTTGTCAACGCCTCTTAGGCCTTAAACAATTAAGAGACTTATCTCACCAGGGTGCTTACTGCATTGCGGTGTTGCTCGCAAAGTAAATACGGCTATTTTAAGCGTGGCCACGTCCAGTGCCGCACTATGGAGTCTAACAACACAGGCATGCTAGCGGCGTTGCCAGTAAAATATGCAAGTGCAAACCGTGCCTGTCTTGGAAGACGCCAGTTGCTTTTCTGGTTGTAATATCCTAACCTCAATAATTCATCAAGTTATGTTAGTGCTAAATTGTGGGATATTGGGGATATATGGAATATTTTTTCAAAAGTTTATAAAACATGGAAAAAAGCATGTGTTCATAGTTTGATGTTTTTTTTAAATATCTTTTCGTGAAGTAAATACTGCAATTATCGTCGTAATTTTCCACTTTAATCCGTCAAAGCTAATGAAGTGAAATGACGTCACCAAGCTGTACATACGATTACGTCGCCGGCGACGGGGTATCTTTTAAATTCAAAATGCGTGCATTTGGAATTTAAAAGATACCCTTAGATATAGCATTAGAGATAGTAAGAAAATAGAAAAACGGGCTTGCTAATCCGAATGTATAGCGTGACACCTATGACAAATTTTAGAGGAGACCATGTGCAGCAATGTACCTATTTTAACAGGCTGTAATGGATAGCTGAATGGAGGATTCGGCTATCCATGATGTTATCACGAACCTATTTTGGATATTAATTTAAGCTCTAACAATTTAGAAGTTATTGATAAATTATTCCCAACAATGCTGTTTAATGTAGCTTCTTGGCCATGAACGAAAAGACTTGTTTATGGTAAGGCGGGCGTGTCGTGAAAAATTCATAAATACGAATCATCACTATAGACGTTTCGGATTGTTATAAACGCAATAAGATAGTTTTTATTGTAATTCGGTATTAGGTGTATCTGTAATTACGTATTAATTGTAATCGATTGTATTTATGTTTAGTTCATAATATTTCGATTGTAAATTCCTTAATTTATGATGCTTATAGTTATACGGTTTTTTACTCGTACGGCCCTAAGGGGATGTGAATATGGCAATATTTTAAATATATTAAAGGGGATGGTCACAGAAAGTGAATGCACTACATGCATTTAATTATTTTTAATTTAAAATCTTTAATTTATATCAAATAATAAAATGCTTTTATATAATAACAACGATTCCCTTTGGGGTTATTTAACTATGAACTAGGTTATCAATTTTATGTGACTCAGATATGTGTTTCACGATATTACCGTCATATTTGATTATTATGTAGATAGGAAATATGATGGTAACTCAGATTAACCCCTTTTAATATTATATTCAATAATAATATTGTGTAGAATTTAAAATATTGCTATATAACATAAACATTTGTTCCAGAAGACGTTTCACGTAAAGTGGGACACGGTTTATATCATGGTGGCATTATACAGCATGTCCTACGTCGTATTTATATTTAAAAAAAAATTAAAATTTTGTATATAATACTTTATTACGGAATGTTTTGTGATTAAAATATAAATATTGCATAGGTGTGTATAGTGTCGCCTTGTTAATTCCTTACAATAATAACGCCTATTACACACTATTGGATACGCTTTTATACAGTGTAAAATGAAATGGTTATAGTTGTCGAAACTTCGCTAGTGTGTAATGAGCCTGGTGGAGAATATGCGAATAATTTTATCTAGATGTCAATCTAAATCGATATGCAAATAAAATAATTAAAGATTTTAAAGATGAAGTTATATTTGCTCTTAAAGTGAAAGAAAAATACGGAAATTACTTTACAAATAGGATGAATGTATATAGCTCTATGTAAGGAATGAATTTTTTTTCTTTCTGTTTATGATTTTTCTACCTTTACTCTAGGAGCTGGAGGAGAATACTCCTAGGGTATTTTTTGTCATTACTGGTAATTAGCATTGTGGTGTCGCCACAAGTCATGCTGGGTAGTTACTTTTTCCGGGCGCCTTTGATGTACAAAGAAAAATTTAATTTAAAAGGGTGAGGTTCAATTTATTTAATTACATTTCGGTAACATCTTAAAGGAAGTACTGATTATGTACACACCGTATCCTTCCGTGCCAAATGGCTCTGTTGGTGAAAGATACATCATTAGGGTAAGCGCAGACCGAACTGCAAAATGCTCGCGCATGCTCGAGCAAAATTTTGACTACTCGACCATGCAGGCGGCATCCGCGCGCCTCCGTGAGCAAGATCCATTGAAAGTGCTCTGGGTTGCTAGGGCATATTGCATAGTGCATTACCAATTTGATGCCAAAATCCGACATTGATAGACGTATTCAATATGATCGACTGAGACTTGGTGATTATCGCCCTTTTGGCAGAGGAAGAGGAACATGAAGAACATATTAATGAAATCAGACTTCAGAAAATTAGAAAAACAGTATAGGTAGAAGAAACTTGGAGATTCTTTCCCAAGCATTGGCTTTTAACATACAATCGCTGTATGTTGGACTTGATATATTGTACAGACACTCAAAACGCTGCACCAAACTTATCAAATTTTCTTCGTCCATGATTCCGACTTATGTGCCGCGCTTATAGGTATAAACTAAACACATATCCAAACAGTGTTTTC